CCCCCCCCCCAGGAAGGAGCAATGTGTGCATATGCGTGGCGTGCCCTTGGCCCCTTACCCCGACGAGGTGGCCCAGTGCCACGGAGATCCCAATCATGGCGGCCGGGGAAGCCGCTGTCTGCCGGCTGTCGGTGGAAGCAAAGACACAGAGCACCAGCTGCAGGGTCAGAACCAGCTCCACTGCCACCGCCTGGCCAGCTGAGACACTGCTCTGGACCTGGGTGAGAGGGTTATCTGGAGTCCACAGGGGCTCTGCCAGGGACACCCCCCTCCATGTCCTCACTGTAAGGGGGAGACCTCACCACTGCCAGCGACAGGACTTAAGGAGAACTGTGCAGCAGGGTCGGGGCCAGCCCTGCAGAAGTAGTGTTACCCTTCCCACCCCAAAGGTTAACGGGCCAGTGATTTAGGGGAGCATCAGGGGCTCAGAACTAGTGGGAAAGGGGAGGCGCAGAGAAGCTGGGGTGCATGTTTGTGAGCTGATTGGGAGGAGACCTGGGTGGGAGACCTGGGAAGGAGGAGATTTGGGGAAGTGGGTGAAACAGAGATGATTAGGGGAATCTGGTAGGGGGTGGTGAAACAGGCCTTAGGGTGCTGGAGAGGGAAGAACATGGGAAAGCAGAGGAGCAGGGAACACAGGAAGGGGGGGAGTGGGGAGATGAAGTGCCTGCAGGGTCCCTGCCGCCCCCCTAGCCCCCAGCCTCAGCCTTCCTTGGCTCCCTCAACCCTTATCTGCCTAGTCCTTCGACTCCTGCCCCTTAGTGTGGCTGCTCCTCAAGCCACAATCCTATTCTGCTCTGCCTGTGCTAAAGCCACACACGGTCCAATTCCCCTGGGTCCCAGGGCCCCGCATAGCACCTCCCTGCCACTCTCCTCCGCCCTGCCTCCACCCTTACCACCTATTTAGACAACTCCCTCCCTGGCCCTGCCAGGTGCCCCCCTGCACCTACCACGTTGACCCCAAGGGTCTCTCGGATGTCCCCTGGTGTGACCCTGTAAAGCAAAGCAGCCCCCACAATGGCCCCTGCCAGTTGGGCAGCCACATAGGCCACAGCGCGGGGCAGGGAGATTTGGGAGCCCACGAGGAAGGCCAGTGTCACCGCAGGGTTGACGTGGGCCCCACTGGCCTTCCAGGTGACCTGCACCACCATGGCCGTGGCCAGGTTGAAGGTGATGGCGATCTGTAGCACAGAGGGAAGCGCTGAGGACCAGCGCATAGCCGAGCCCACGCCGAAGAACACGTACAGCCCTGTGGCCAGGAACTCGGCAAACAGCGCCTTGCTGATGGCCATCCACAGCCGGCACCCCAGTACCCTGGCCAAGCTGCACCCTCCTGGCTCCACTGTGTGCAGGTCCTGGAGTTTTGCCTGCTGCCGCCTCTGCTCACAGGGCTCTCCCTGTTTGCCTTGCCTCTGGTCTCCTCTGCCTCCTCTGGTCTCTTGTCTCTGGCCTGCTCTGGCCATCTCGCTGTGCAGAGGCTTCACTGGCCCCACCTGTAGCTCCTCCACTGCACTGCGGCCCCAGGACTGCGCTGGGCAGACTGGCAAGGATCGAGATGGAGGGGTTATGTGCGTCTGGGTGGGTAGGAGGGGTGGAGGTGGCATGAGGGGTGGCGCTCACATGCCTGTTTTCCCCTGAGCTCACCTGACAGGGGGTGTGTGTGTGGGGGGGGGGGCGTCTTGGG